CAAGGACTAAAAGAGGTATTCCTAGAGTTCGGAATCCCCTTTCCCACCCCCTCGTCAGTCCTGGAGGAGACAAGGGTGTCTTGAGGGGCACTCAACCCCCGGAGATGGAAATTCCGGGGAAGGCCAAGCTGTCGCTTCGTCGCTTTTTGGTCGCTTTTGCACCCCTTCAGGTGGGCTAAGGGGTGGCTTCGAAAAGGGGGGTGGAGGACAGGTCGGAGGAAACGTAAACTTCGTTTCGGGGACAATGCCACCCCCGTTGTACGATTCGATTATTTTCATTCAGAGGGGCCTTCTTAATTTCGTTAGGGGTGCATCCCCCTCCCAAACTCCACTTCCTCTTACAAGTACGACATATACACGACGAATGCCCGTTTTCGATGAAACCCACCCCTAACTCCTCATGATTCCTCCTGCTTCCTTTTAATTGTTTTCCTCCCATTGAAAATTCTCACAGAATTATTGTATTAAAGCGTCCATTTTCCTACAACATTTTAATAAAAAAAAAATTCAATTCCCCTTCCTCCTCAGTTGCCGAGCTAAAATTCAAATTCAATCTCTTTCTTAACGTCCCGATTTAATTTCCGCAATTTCGAGAATCCTCCCCCGTCGAAAATTCCTACGGAATTCCTGTCTACAATCGCCAGAGAGGGAGGGGCCGAAGAACACGTGGTATTACAATAATTGACACTCCCCACGGCTCGGGATCGCGAGTTTCGCTACGATCACGGCAATTCTCGCAATTCTGACGGAACATTCTTCCCTGTAATCCGCGATCCGCGGGGCGTCGCGGCGCATACGCGGACGCTCCCCGGAATGCGGCGCAATCTCCATTAACCACCGAATGCCGCGGATAGTTCGCGGCCCGAGCTGCGCTAATAGGGATGAACCTCCGTCGAGCTGTAGACTTGGTACATCAACCCCTCTTCCGATCTCCCGTAATAATATCTCCGACGGTAAAAAAATATTTCCATCCACCGTGGGAAAATAATTCTCTCCGGGAAAATATTTTTTTTTCGACCTTTCAACCCTTTCAACATTTTTCAATTAGCTGCGCTATTAGCGTAGACTTGGTACATCAACCCCTCTTCCGATCTCCCGTAATAATATCTCCGACGGTAAAAAAATATTTCCATCCACCGTGGGAAAATTATTCTCTCCGGGAAAATATTTTTTTTTCGACCTTTCAACCCTTTCAACCTTTTTCAATTAGCTGCGCTATTAGCGTAGACTTGGTACATCAACCCTTATCTCGATATCCCATAATAATGTCTCCGACGGTAAAAAAATATTTCCATCCACCGTGGGAAAATAATTCTCTCCGGAAAAATATTTCTTTCAAGGGGAAACGCTCCCTTATTTCGTTCCAGCCTTTTTTTTAAATAATTTTTACGCGAATATCAGGATCACCTTTTAATAGAAACGGATAGATTTCAGGTGTGTAAATTCTCTCTCTCTCTCAATGTACCTGGAAACATTGCGATCGTCGAGATCAGCAAATCGAGTAGGCATGTACATGGGGAAAAAAAAAAGAAAATCTAAAAACGAACAAGAGTACTTCCTGTCAGAATTCCGGTGGCTTTTACCGAACAAAAAGAAGAAAGAAGTGATGGACGGGGCAGTTTCGACCGTTTCCTCCCGGGAAATCGCCAACGATGCTTTCCCAGCTCGGAAAAAGCGTGCACGCCGCTTTTTGTCGGGCGCGACAAAGGGGAAATTGCTGATAGATAAGGTTTTTCTCTCCTTTCCTTCGGGAAAATCGGATTTCCCCTCCAGAGCGCGAGAAAAGTGCAAGATACGAGTTGCAGGATTTTTCCTATAACTCTTTATGCCTTTCGACAAAGAAAATCCACATTTGTTGTCCCTTCTCAAAGAGTACACATAACCGTGACTCAGGCATACAAAAAAAAAATATATAAATATTGTGTATTTAATATTTAAACATTATCTCCCAATTTAAGATGGCCCGGAAAATGGAAATCTCATATCTTTCCCTCTTTTCGAGGGATGTTACTTAAAATGTAAATGCAACCGAGTATTTAAATAAAGTTACTAAATCGAGTAAACAAATTATTTAAATGCAAACCTAGTCTCTCGCACTTTTCAACTTATTACCCACTAAATAATACTTTCCACGAGTCCTGGAAAATTCCATCGGAAGAAGAGTCTCGACAGGAATCCCATCGAGATAATCGATTTACCGTGATAAAGACGATTCCCTCAAGTGCACCCTCTACTTCCCCCCTGTTCACCCCCTTTAATCTGGACCACCCTCCAGTTTTTTCTCAAGACCCCCCGCGAAGAACTTTGCACGGGGCGTTTCCTCCATGGGAAAAAAAATCGTAAAAAATGAATATAAAGCCACGATTCGCGAAAAACTCACCCCTTGTTATTCTGGAGGTCTTGCCCCTCCTCGTTTCACCCCATCCTGCCCCCCCTTTTTTTTTTTAATTCGACTTTGCGAAACAACGAGACTCGCTGCAAAGCGCTGTCTTAAGGGGGGCGGAATAACACCCACGGGTGGACGCGGGTAATTTGAAAAGTTTTCTCGTTAAATCGCGCAAAACGCCCGCGAGGATCTAAATCCGCATCCGGAAAGACGGAACACCCGCTGAGCGAATTTTTGGGAAATATATCCATCCCCTTAGAATTGATCGATATGGTCGAAATTCCGAATCAGAGGGTGCACGATTCTCATGTGTGTGTGGCGATCGGATTCGCTTTCGCTTTTGCGGTAACGAAGCTGTAACGAGCTCGTAATCAGCTGCGGGAAAATATTGATAAAGCTCGCGTTCCACTGGGGGGAGTGATAAAAAATTGGCGGAATTTTCGAGGGGTGCCGAATAAACCGATGGGGTGTGCGAAGCATTCGGGGTTGCTCGTTCTTCTCGCGATCGATGTACATCCACTGTTTTTTTACTGTTTTCTTTTTTTTTTTCCAATTTCAAACGGAAGTGTTAAACGAGAGATATTAAATGTCTTTTTATTTAATTTCAGTATAGACAATGTCTGATCGTTTTACGCGTGTATTATTAATTTAATGCACCATTACCATTTTATCAATTTATTACAATTTCAACGGTGTAAGGGGAATACGTATTGATATAATATCCGTTTACGTGGAATATACGTAGAAATGGATAAAGCAAGTCGCGGTTATTCTGGCTGAAGCGATTTCTTGAATTCGCTTAGGGAGCTTTCCAGGATCAAAAGCGGCAAAAGAGGAAACGTTCGCAGAGCTTCCGGGATGAGAATCGCGACTCGCGAATCCTTGGAAGCGTCCTTAAGGATCTCGTCGTTGATACCGCGATTTCGCCCTCAAAGGACTCTCGAATCTCGCAAATTGGCGCGGGGACTTTCAGTTTCCGGTCCAGGACTTTGAAGGATATTCCAAGCTTAGAAAGTCTCTCCAAGTTGCGTGGAAGGAAGAGATAGACGATTTAAAGGACTACGTGAAAAGTTATCGTTTTGCCAAACGGGAAATAAATGTTTATAAAGTGCTAACTAAGTTCAACTGACAAATTATGTGGATTTTTGGTCAGGACTTCCGAGGACATTTCCAGCTCGAGGAGCGATATTAAGAAATTTGACTCAAACGTACTTAACTAAATGCTATCAAATTTCCACAGGACCTTCAAGGATTAGGATCGTAATCTGCGACCCCGCGGAATCATCCTTAATGATGCCATTCCCAGGATCCCGACCTCTCCCTCAAAGGACCCTCGAGTCTCGCAAATTGGCGCACAGACTTCCGGTTTCCGGTCCAGGACTTCGAAGGATATTCCAGACTTCTGGGGATATATATATATCCAGGACCGCGAAAGGGTCGAGCGGGACGAGAGAGCCAAGTTCAAAGGACAGGACTATATCTTTCGCCATTTTTTAGGAATCCTTAAAGGAAAAATGAAAGGAAGCCCGATCCGATCCTTCGAATCTTTTCACCAGGACTCGTTCGATGACTCTCGCGAGTCCTTTTCCAATTTTACGAAGACAGCTTCCGATAGTACTTTACGAGCTTTTCGCTTGAAAATCCTGAAAACTGAAATCCTTTAGTCGATGGTCCATCGAGGTCCTGGAATCCTTCGAGAGGTCCTTTCTAAAAAGAGTCGATCCTTAAACCCGATTATTTTCTTTTATATCCCAAATGGCCTTTCTTAAAAGAAAATCAAATTTAATTTCTACTTCTAATGAAACCTCGATAAAAAATCCCAATCGCCCAATAAAAAACGCCCAATCTTTGCGAATAAAAAAATTCCACTGACATGAACGAAGCAGCGACTTGGAAAGATTTTCGAAATTGCCTGGATTTACCGCGAGAAATATGAAAATGTCGGTATAACGTTCCCAGTAATTTTCAATAAAAATTCCGCCTTAGGTGGGGTGCATCCTTATTCTTCCCGGCTATGGGGGGATATGGGGGGTGGGTTTTAAACGCGAATTTGGATCGAAGGCATAAGGTGGCTCCCCATGGGGGGATATTTATGGGGTCCGCCTAACGGGGGGCGAAATAGCGCCATTAGCCGGGAATATCGACGTAAGTCATGGCAGATTTATGGGGACCATCGGGGATGTCCGCCCCCGATGGGGGACTTGCCCCCTCGTGTCCTCTCCTGCCCCGGTGCGACCCCGGAAGTGCCGCCAAGCCGCTCGTTTCCGGCCCCCAGGACGCACCCCTTCCGGTTCGCGTCCGCGACTTCCGGGCCGAGAGGACTGCCGGAAGCACCCCTCGATTTGGCACCCTTTCAACCCCTTCGAAGGGGGCGAAAAAAGGCGAATCGGGTCAAGGGGCGGAAAGAAATCTGACTGAATATTCGAACTTCATTTTGGGCGACATCAACTTTCTTTTTCAATAAATTTCGAATTTTTTTAAAGAACTTGCATTTTCGCACTTTATTTTAATTATGACTTTATAGTTTATAGTTCGAATGTTCCGTCGATTTTTTTTATAAAAGCACAGGGTGATTAGAAATTAATTCTAATGAATTGTGATAAAAATGACTCACCATGAAGTGCCTTCAGATAAGCCTTGCCCGCGTTGATAAGCTGTCGGGCTCCTGGATTGAACTTGTCCAGGATATTCTGCAAAGAAAATCGTAAAAGCGGACTCGTAAATGTTGAGTAACCAGGAAAACGTCATCGCGGAGTAAATCAATCATCGAGAGTAAGGGAAGGAAGAGGGAAGATATTCCCTCGGGAGCCGAGGGGAAGAGCGCAGTTTCCCGGCTCGTAAAGAAGTCCCGGAATTTCATTTGCAATATTTCTCTTTCATTAAAGAAGAAATTGGGTTTCTTAATAAAGCACGGAAATTCTTTAATGGGACGAAAACGTTCCTTAATAATATGCAAAACTCCTGTAGGAGCGCCAAAAAGTCCTTTTTCGTCGACCGTCCCTCCATATGATTCCTGTATAATGTCGAGTTATTAATTCCTAAAAATTGCCAAAAAACGGAAGAACGCGTTTAAAACCAATCTCATCTCCGAGAAACGCGAGGAAGAGAGAAGGCATTCCCTCGGGAAAGGGGGGCTCATCTCGCAAAGGGGATTCTCACTTTGACGCTCCGGCGTCTTTGGTTACGTCTCGAGCAGGAGTCCCGAGGGACCCCGAGTGTAAAATCCTGGAGGGAAGAGGCCGTGTCACGGACGACTGATATCCGTCGTGGCATCCCGCGTGATAAGCGCTCCTTTCGAGCAAACGCCTGGATAAGGTACCCAGGCATTTTTATACGAAAAAAAAAAAAAACAGCGGCCTAGACAAGGTCGTTTTTTTCAGAAAGAACTAATAAATTTATAATTTCCCGAAACGCTTTCATTTATGTATAAGAAATTTTTAATAAAAAGACAATCGTCCTTCCAGGGAAATTCGTCTATTGGCGAGGACGAATATTGTCCCTTCAACCATTCCACTGGAAGGACGAATTTTATTATATTGATAAATTAATGAAATATGTCAAATTCCTAAAAAATATCGAAGACCCACGCCCTGAAATACCAATTATTTATATCTCTAAGAAATTTAGAATGAATTGAAATTTCGAGTCTCCACGAGTCCCAAGATCGAAAGCCCCGCCTGGCGACAGAAATCCCTCGGAATTCCCTCGGGAGAAGGGGTGGCGACGTCCCACGTTAGCATCGGGACGCCAAAGGGAGGAAAGGGGGAGGCTCCCGAAATTCCGGCTTTGACGGCGTCTCGACGCCCTCGGGCGTCTTGGGTTACCGCCCTCGGGACTCCCTAGGGACTCCCTAGGGATCTCCCTCGGGAAAGGGAGGATCTCCCGGGGACGAATTAACGCCCCGGACGAACTCGAGCGAAACGGGCAAACTGCATCCCCGGAGTCCTTCGGGATACCCCGAGAGGACAGGGATCGATCTTCAATTTCCGGCCCAGCGCCCGTTTAATTGGGTCCGCGTCCGGCATCCTCCCCTTCCGCCACCTCCGGGACTTCCGGGACTTCCGGCACTTCCTCCACTTCCGGAGTCTCGAGGACCCTTCTGGCCGCAAACCGCCGGACTCCGGTCTCTCCGTTTAACGGCGTGTCTTTCCCGATCGACTCGTCCTACGGGACCCCATCATGACGTCCCGTGTCCCGAAGGTGTAAGAGCAAACGTTGGTCCAGAGTTTCGGAGGCTGGGGGGAATTGTCGGCTTTTACGGGGTGTCGGGAGGACAAGGGGTGGACAAGTGGAGGGCGGTAATTGTTCCCCAGGATCACAGAACTCTGGAATTGTAATTATATTTTCTAATGGGGATTACGAGTGGACAATACGTTATCGTTGTAAAAAAAATATGGATGGCATTCTGCAATTATATTTTCCATCGTGAAATATTGCCCACTAGGAATATTGTCTCTACAAGATATCCAGGATTACAGATCGGACGTTATCCCCCAACAGATCATTGTTCTCCAATTACGGATGATTGATTAAACCACCCCAGCTCGTCTTCGTAAGTTGAGTTATCGAAGTTATCGCGTCGACGTGCTCATCCCCAGATGCCTGAGCAAATGTTGGTCCAGAGTTTAGGAAGCTGGGGAAACTATCCGAGCTTTTAGACGTGTCGATCAAGGATCGGATAACCGGGAAACGGGGAAAATTAAACAATTCTCACCCACGATTGCCGAGCTCTTCCAATATTATCATGAATTATTGCGTATAAAAATTACCTACAGAGTCCAGAATAATTACGGACATTGATTTAAAGGATTCTAGATGGCGTAGGAGATTTCCAGGGATTTTTCTTTTTTTAGGAAAGTAGGGTTGATTTTTCCATTTCCCGAAATGTCGAAGGACCTTTCCTTCCTTTCCTTCATTTTAATCTCCCCAGCCTCCAGAGATGATTTCTTCTCATCTCGCGATAGAGAGAAAGAAAAGGATTTATCCTTTATCGCGGGACTCCAGCTCGTCCTTGCGATTCTTCTTCCCCCAAAGTCCTGCAGAAGACGTGTCCTCCTAAGGACCTTATTTTTTAACGCGATTTATACAGCGACTTTCAAAATTCCTCGCGTTTCCCGACGTCGTATTGTTCCTTCGTGTTTCACTATTCCCCCTTTCCAGGATTCCTTCCCTCGAAATCCTGGGGAAGGACTAGTTTCGAGAAAGAGATCTAAATAGTTGGCGAGCGGGATGAAAGGACCTCTTGGATTTTCGCAATCCCGTGAAAGGGAACCCTCGAAAGAGTAATAAAATCCTCTCCTTCCGTTTCCTGGGAAGGAGATTAATTATTCCTGAAGCATCCCTAGTGTTTCGCCCAGTTTTAAAAACCACTTCTACAATTTCTATCGTCCTCAATAGTCCTCCTTAATACCTCTACAACATTTAATGCCACTTTTTAGAGATTGTGTAATTTTTCAAAGCCCTTCCAGGCATTTCCTGGGATAGGAAAAAGGTTTTTCCGGGCGGTTTCGAAAATTCTTCCAGGAGCTTTCCCGCGGAGGGGAACAAAAGGATCTCTGTGGAGCTCCTCTGGAAAATCTCGCGAATCTCCTTCCTGAGCTGCCTCGAAAATCCGTAGGATTTCGCGAAGCCACTTCGTCTCCCTCGATACAAGGAAACGCCGGAAGGGTTTCGCTTTAAACCTTAAAATCGCGACATCTCGACATCTCTAGATATTTAATCCGACATATGCAATTTGCCATTTCAAGTGCCACGCGACGAGATTTTTGAATATTTTTTTAATTTTTTTTTTAATCGAGGAAAAAATAAGAAAATGCATTCAACATGGATCACGTACATCGCAGGATATCCGCAGGGTATAAAACGTTTTTTTAAAGTGGGACGAAACAACGAGATTAATAAATGACCTAATATCTGTCAGAGATATCCATAAGATATACGGAATAATAAAGAATGGAGGTGATCGCAATGATTTTCTTTTTCGAAATGTCTTATATCAGTTCTCTCTATTTGTTATACCATCCAGTGATATCTACTCCACGAGAGAATCCATCCCAACAGGATGTCGCATCCCGTAGGACGTCCGCGAAGTTGCGGCGTTTCTCATTTGCGACGCGGCGAGAATGCGGTTAGGGTCCTCTCTTGACATCGATCGTCTCTGTCGTTGACGAGAGCGAATTAAACTCTATCTCTGGTCTTCGTCTCGGCGACGTCCTCGTTACGTCCAAGTGGTTTGCGGCGTCAACGAGACCGATTGACTTCGACCAGACAAGTTCCCCGGACAATTAAGATTGACTAGAACGAAAGTTAACGACGAAAATAACGAGAATAAAAAAATCTCAATTAAAAGGATTAATATTATAACCTCCTCGCCATCCGATTTCCCTCTCTAACCATTTAATTTCCCTCTTTGCGCTTATCTCCTGTCGCGGGAACGTTTAATCACTTTGAGAAAATATTGCCGATGCACCTTAACTACTACTCGGACTTCCGCGTGTGTTACTCCTTTACTAAGTTCCAAAAGGCTGTAAATACTCATTACTTGACAACCTCGAGTTAACAGATTTTCAATAAATCTCATGTCATAAAATTGTATACATCGCGACCGTGAATAATTTTTTCCGCGTACGGAGGAAATTCAAGAGACTGTGAAATTGTGAAAAAAGGTGATCCCTAAGGTGATCCAGAAAATCCAGGCGATCCAGCGGAACCGGTGCCGTTACTCCCGGAGGAACCGGCCTGTGCCGCTGCGGTTCCGCTGCGGCCACCGCGCGGCATTGCGGTGCACCGAGTAACGGGAAGGCGCGATTTCAGATCCGACAGCTGTTTCGGTCAATTCGTTCAGCTCTAAATTGATATATAAATTTCAAGGTAATTGCTATAAGGAAAGGGACGGAATTTTTTTTTTTTTTTTTTTCAAGATCGGGAGGTGGAAAAATAATTTAAAAAATTAATCGGGACTCATTAGGAGCCAGGTGAGGAATTCCAGGAATTACAGGTATTCCGGGGATCCATTAGGGATGTCTCTCCCTCGGGAAAAGTAGGTCCCTCTCTCTCTCACGCGTCTGTCATGCGACATGTTAGGTATGGAAGAGTACCACACAATTTATCCGACCTCTTCGGCTCCTCCTCTCGAGGAGCCTCATCGACAATAAATTCCTTACCTGTACATTCGAGTACATATGTAAATGGAATATATGTCCACATATTTACTTATGCATTACGTTGCACCTGGGAGATATGCACCTTGCAGGCGGATCCAGAGGAGACCACGAGGAGAGAATAAATTTATGCATTACAAACTATCCCGCGGAATAATTTCTTTCTATTTTTTAACTAATATTCCAAATGAACGCGATAAGAAGTAATGCAGGGAAATTTGATGAATCTAGTCCCACGAGATGAAGGGAGTAAATGAAAATTATTTTCGCACAATTTGAGGAAAAATCGACCAACGAATAAAGGACGAAACACGTGGTACACGTGCACACGTCGCGTTCGATATTCCCTTCGAAGGGAAATGAGAAACAGTAAGGAGACGTCGCGGGGAATAAAAATAAAATTGGATTTCGAAAGGGCGCAGATGTGATGCGAAAGAAAAGAGAGAAAGAAAGGAAGAGAACGACCCCGGTACCGACGCGGACCGTAATGTATGTAACGCATCCATGTACTTGCAAACATGTCCTTGTGT